CCAAATTCTAATCCCTTAAAGTTGATCATTTATTAACGTGTTAAATTCAAAGAATTATAAGCTTATCATTTATTAATTTTTTACAAGTAAAACTAAAATATACTAGTTTGGTGAAAAGACGCTAGTTTCGAGAGTCATGCTCGCGTAAATTTTACAAGATAATCTATTATGTGCTATGGTCAATGAAACACCTGATAAAGTACATAAATATTTTTTATTGAAACTAACATATCCTGTACATATCATGTTCATGGTGCTATGCTTCTCCCATTGACCAGGTACTATATCATCTATTTCCAAGATTATTTCTTACCCTTCAGGTACATGTAACACGGGCAGCAAAGGCTCTACAACTATGGTCTTGTCCAAAGAGACCTCCCTTTCCAAACAACTCTCCCCTTCTACACAACTCTCCCCTTCTACTACTAATATAGAGCATCGTACACACAGTAAAAAATTAGGTACAAACCGGTATGCCTCTTTGGGTTCTTCAGAAGATGAAGAAGAAACCTTGGTTTCGGAAGAAGATTCTAATCCGATGGATTTGGTGACTCCTTCGGGGAAAATAATCCTTAGGGAGCGACCAGTTAAACCTTTAACAAAGGCTAAAGAGATGCAACTGCAGCGGTTGTGGAAGAGGGGGTCATGGCTAAATGATATCCTGAACCAACATCTTTGTTAAATCGAAGCGGAAGATTATTTATTATCTAGTCATATTGTTGTGATTTTCTCTTTACACTTGTTGTAATGTTCTTTCAAAAACTCGTTGGCTCTTGTCAATTTTTGTATAACCGATCGATGAATAAGAAGTGTTTTCATGAAAAAAAAAATATCTTCTACATATTAAAAGAGAAACATTTTGAGTTATTTTTGATGATGTGTCAGTCCCACGGTTTTTTCATCTTTTTCTTTTATTTATTTATTTAAATGTTCTATTCTCATTTCAAAACATATTTATTTCCAAATCTACTTATTTTGATTATTCTTACTGTAATTGCCAAATACATGAAAATAGTCCTAACTTGCTAAAAATAATTATTTCGAAAATTCTAATATTATAATCATTAAATGTGAACAAAAGAATAACATATATTCCCTATAATTACTATTTAAAAAAATAAAATACCAAAGTAAATGTTCTTTTATTTTCTTTTGAAAATATGTGAGCATGTAAATAATTTTTTTCACATACATATTTTAAGATATAATCAGACACATTTTTGGACCAAAACAAAAAAAAGAAAGTTAGACACATTTAAGATAAATACATTATTATTTTTTTTCCTTATAAAACATTTGTGTGGACAACTAAAAGATTATAATAGATCTGGAAAACAAATCTAACAATATGTTTAATATTTTTTGTGACAAAAAATCTTTAGTCTTTTTGGTTAATTCAGTTTGGTTTTATATAATCCTATTTTGGTTTGGATATTTTAGTATAAAATTTTATAAACCTATTGCGGTATTATATAATATATAATTTGGTTTGAGTTTGAATCTGTTGAATTTTAATTTAGTTCAGTTGGATTCTGATATTCTATCAATCCCTTGATAAACACACATTTTTATAGGAAATAATCACAAATTTAATAGAAATGAATATTTTCTAATTATATACATAATAGGAATGAATTTTTTCCTATCTTATTTAATAATTGATATAATTATAATTATTGTTACTTAAGTCTTTAAACAATTTGTCAACTATGTCATTTACTATTCGAGTTAAAACTTTTACGTCAATGTTAATTATATCATTTATTTTTATAATATTTCTGATGATAAATTTTCTACTAGCTCTATAAAAATAAATATATTTATATCTCTATATATTAATAAAAAATTATCCATCCGTATATATCTCGCGTAAACGTCCGCATATACATCTATAAGATATATGGTGGTCTATCATCCGGCTAGCATATAGCGTACTTACATAACCATGTCTCGGATCTGTATAATAATTTTCGAATTAACTAAAATTTTTTTAAGTAAAGCTCTCGAATTTCATATAATAGTTCCAATACTAACTAAAAAACTGTTTTGTAGCGAAAACTATATGAATTTTACATCATTAATTAATCATCATATGATTTATGTCATGATACGAAACTTTTGTTACTCGGTACTGAAGGCTCATTAGTCATTCCTATTGTGCAGTATATTAAACCCCCCTTCCCCCTTTTCGAACCACACTACCTTTCTTCTTTCACTACAAAGCACTCAAATAAAATTTGTTTTATCCACAAAAGTTCACCCAAAAAATATGTCTGGAGAAGGATCAAGCGAATGAGGAGCAAGAGATAACAATGTCTTTTCTGTTCTACTAAATTACTTATATATTGTTACAATATATATTGGTTTTAAAAAATTCTATATAAACTTTGCTGCTTTTTAATTTATTTTCTTCTAATCCATAACAGGAAATTAAGAAAATGAAGAAATGTCTCAAAGTGATTATCGAACTAATCCCTAAACATAAAAACAAAAATTTGCTTGCAAAGCCAGATTTGATGGAATCCTTTCGCAAATGGGAGGTAATTATCTTTTGTTTTCTTTTTATAATAAAATTAAACGTCTATCTCTTACAATTTACTAAGCATCTTTATTTCTTTTGTTAGTCCAACTTGGACGAGAGAAAAGTTCAATTAAGTTGGAAAACAAAAAGACCAAGGTTAATGTGCGCCCATATGGCCAAGAACGTGGTATAAATAAAAACATTTGTTTGTATGGTATGATATAAGAAAAAAAAATGTATAGTAATTTTTAATCCTCAAAACATAACATTATATATTTTGATTTTGGCAGACGAGTGCTGGGCAATAGCATTTTCTAGAGCTATTTCTATATTGATGAAGATGAACAAAATTAACGCACGCTTCCATCCAACTCCGGGTGTACTAATTCATGGTGTTGGAGCTCATAATCTAACACCAAGCGATGGAGTAAATGATATGAGAAATGTTATCCCTTTCTTCACAAGTAACTATGTTGATAACATGAACGTACATCACAGGCCCCAATTAGATGATGAAGCTCAAAATGAAGAGTTTGAGAACTGCATCATAAGACTTTTAGCAACCACACATTTGGCGATTTGTTTCGATTATTTGCCAAGTTTTGGACCACAA